GGACATTTTCGCCTAGTCCCATGAAGATCTAGAAGGGCATCGATCTTGAGGTGGCCACCGATCGGCTCAATATGGATCCCAAGTACAAGGCTGTCTGCCAAAAATTGAGAAGCACAGGAACCGAGAGAGCCCAGGCCATGCAGAAAGAGGTGGGAAAACTGCTTGCAAATGGGTTAGTAAGGGAGGTAGCCTATCCGATTTTGGCTATCAAATGTAGTAATGGTGACGAAAGCCAACAAAAAATGGAGCCTTTGCGTAGACTTCACCGAACTCAACAAGGCCTGTCCCAAAGACAGCTACCCCCTGCTAGGCATCTACATCCTTATTGATGCTACTGCTGGACATGAGTTGCTCAGCTATGTGGATGCTTATTTTGGGTACAACCAGATTAGTATGTTTCCACCTGATCAAGGAAAAACGTTTTTTATCACCCTGAAGGGAACCTACTATTATAGGATCATACCTTTCGGACTCAAAAATGTTGGAACCACATACTAGTGCCTCATGAACAAGATGTTCAACGCACAAATCGGGAAGATAATGGAGATCTATGTGGACGATATGTTGGTGAAGAGCTTGGCTAGAACAAACAATGTAGCACACTTGCAGGAGACTTTTGACATCCTGAGAAACTACCAAATAAAGTTAAATCCTGAGAAGTGCACCTTCAACGTTAGCTTAGGGAAGTTGCTAGGCTTCATGGTTAACAAAAGGGACATTGAGGCTAATCCAGATAAGATTAGAGCTATGTTGGAAATGAAATCCCCAGCTTCTGTGAAGGAAGTCCAACGACTTAACGAAAGGATAGCAACCGTCAGTAGGTTTGTCTCAAAATCAACAGATAAATGCTTACCCTTCTTTAAAATTCTTTGCAAGTCTATTCAGTGGGGGCCGGATGCAGAAGAAGCTTTCCAAAAGTTAAAGGCCTACCTTATTACACCCCTTTACTCTCCCATGCCGTACTAGGAAATACCTTGTATCTCTACCTCTCCTCCTTTCCCTCTATCGTGTCCTCTGTCCTAGTCAGGGAGGAAGGAGGAGTCCAAAAGCCTATTCATTATGTAATCATGGCATATCGAGGAGTAGATGTGAGGTACTTTGAATTGGAGAAGTTGGCCTTCGCACTTGTCACCACTGCTAGGCACCTACGCCACTATTTTTAGAGTCATACCATCATGGTTATCATAGATTAGCCACTCAGAGGAATCCTGGGAAAGCCAGATGCGTCTAGGTGACTCCTAAATGGACCGTCAAGTTAAGTGAGTTTGATGTGCAGTAAGGGCGGCCATAAAAACACGAGCAATTGCGAATTTTATGGCTGAATCTACACCACTAGAAGAAGGAGATTCCCAAGAAAGAGTGTCCTGCACCCTGCACTCACCTACCTAGTACACATCGTCTAAACTTCCTATGAGGCAAGCCCATGCGCCACCCCCAGAGAGTCTAGTGCCTTGGAGGCAACTTCAGAGAATCTAGTGGAAGTTAAGAAATTGAGACTTAGAGCGTCTAGGTATGTCATCTTGCGTGACACCTTTTACAAAAGAAGTTACTCACTACCCTTACTCCGCTGCCTCATTCTCGAGGAGTCTGATTATGCTATGAGAGAAATTCATGAGGCAATATGTGGAAACCACTCAGGAGGGCATGCATTGGCTCACAAGGTAGTGAGACAAGGCTACTACTAGCCTAGCATGATTAAAGACGCCCATGAATTCGTAAAAAAAGTGCGACAAGTGCCAACATTTCACGATAGTGCCAAGGCAACCACCAGGTCACCACCATCAAGAGCCCTTGGCCCTTCTCTACGTGGGGAATTGACATCTTAGGCCCCCTAATCATGAGTTGGGGCTAGTGCAATTTTGTGATAGTAGCCATTGACTACTTCACAAAGTGGACAAAAGCTGAATCCTTAGCCAGAATAACAAACTAGAAAGTGAAGGACTTCATCTAGAAAAACATAGTATTTCGTTTTGGTATACCTCTTGCAATAGTAAGTGACAATGCTAAATAGTTTGACAACAAACTCCTTAATGGCTTCTGTGCAGATCTACAAATCAAGCAATCCCACTCTAGCCTAGAGCATCCCCAGGTGAACGGGCAGGCAGAGGTCACCATCAGAACAATCCTCTATAACCTGAAGACCAGATTGGAAAGCGCCAAAGGGCGGTGGGTGGACAAGCTCTCAAGAGTACTATGGGTTTACCGAACAACCCCAAGAAGCATTACGGGTGAGACCCCATTCTTCTTAGCCTAAGGGATAGAGACGGTCATACCAATCAAGATTGGGGGTACATTCCTTAGGGTCCAATACCATGACCTTACCACTAATGAAGAAGGCCTCTGCATTAACCTTAACTTGGTAGAGGAAGAGAGGGATATGAATATGTTCAGAAATGCAAAGTACAAGCGTCACATGATCAAGTACTACAATTTGAGAGTGAAGCTTCACTCCTTCTTGCCTAAGGACCTAGTCCTCAAAAAAGTCATCCTATTTACCAAGGACTCTCAAGAAGGGAAGTTAGGCCTTAATTGGGAAGGATCTTACATGGTGACAGAAGCTGTAAGGTCAGACACTTACAAAATTTAGAACTCAGAAGGAAAAGTCTTAGCCCTTCCATGGAACGCCGAACACCTGAAGAGATATTATCAATAGCGGGGTACAAGCTAGTAACTATCATTTTATTTGTCCTTTGTCGCTTTAGTCAATATCTTTTGTTATCTGTTACTTTAAATTATGAAATAAAATTTTGCAAGAGTTATTTTATCTAGAACTATCCTTCTTTCCATAAAAGTTTGTAAACAACTTACAAAAGACAGAACATGACCTAACAATAAAAAGGTAGACAAAAAGATAAAAGTCATCATACTTCCGACGTTACTTGTTGCTCCCCGATCCATTCTCATCAAAACTCTCCCCGTCATCATCAGTCTCTGGTGCCTCATAGGGGACGAACCTGGAAAAATTGATAGCATGGAAAGTTGCTGAGGCCTTTCCACTAAACTCCTTATTGTTGTCAATGAAGGCACCTGCAACGGCTGTCTCAGCAGCCTCCCTCCTCCTCTCTATCTCAATGGAATGAACCTATGCTCTAGTAGCTCTCTCAAGAGCTACTCGTTGGTTAGTCTCTTCCATGTCAGCCTTCTTTCAAGTTGTCCGTAGCTCAGCCTCAGCTCCTGTGGCCCTCTCGCAGGACACTCGCAGCTCTGACTCTACTATTGCGCAGAAAGTCTCCCTATCAGCCTCCAGCTTCATGGCACTCTCGTGGGACGTCGAAAGCTGGCCTTAAGAGGCGTAACTCTCTCATAAGCTAGCCTCAACAATCTCTTATGCCTGTCTCTCTTCTGCCAGAGCTCTTGATGTCTCACCAAACTTGATCGTCCTTGAAAAAATATAGGAAAAGGCAACAACTATCTATAGGCATCCAAAAGACAGAATATAAAAAGGAAGCAAGTGTAGAAATCAAGGTTGACTTGAAAGAAAATATACCATAGCAAATCCCTCAATCGCAGTATCTATAATGCCCTCTAGACCTTGAGAGCTGACCATTCTAATATCTACGGCTATCACAAAGTTCTAAAGTTGCTCCTTGGCCAGATTCATGTCCTACAACATGGACACCGAGTCACTACTAGAAGCAGGATAACTACATGGAGCTCCAGTCGCCATAGAGAACCACACAAGAGTCTCAACTTCTAAAGTAGAACTAGGGATAGCCTTAGCACTTGAAGGGGTCACATGCTAAAAAGGAGTGAGGGCACCACCTGATCCTATCTCCCGGGAAGCAACCTGGTCATTGGACTTCGACCGTGAAGAACAGGAGGCATCAGCCTTCGCCCTCTTGGAAGGAGGGGAAAACGCCACCCAAGAAGCATAAAGAACCTCCACCATTGTTCTATCAACAGTACTACCTGCAGAACTTCATGAGAAGGAGACTTTACAAGCATCATCGAATTTATAGAAGAGATCAAATACTTTTCCTCTTCTGCCTAGAGAAAGCCCTAGAGTGACCTGACGTAGTCATAAGGGCTTCAAAATTACTTGGTAGGATGATCCCTCACAGCTTGGAGCCTACTCTCTTGCTCCACAGATAATATCGAAGCTGCAAATGAACCAAACATGCAGTAAGTATGGAAGGGATATGACATTTAGGTATGAAAGTCAGGGGAAAACTCATACCTAGCTTGGTCTTTGAAAGGGTATCCCACCTCGAGGGCACTAAGTCACGGTCCTCCTTGGCAGCCCACTCACCTCCTACAGAGAAAAACCTGGACTTCCAACTATGATAGTTCGAGGGCAGTCCAGTGATCAACTTGCTCAACCTCGAAGCAAAGTGGTACCATCCCTGATGAGGAGTGAGATTATCCAAAATCACATACGAAGTCAAGAACTCCTAAAAAGAGGGAGGAACGACCTCGCCATGAACCAACCGCCATAGTAAGAAGGACGCCAAAATTACCCTCTAGCCATTCGGAGTCAACCTCCCCGAGATATGCACAAGTGACCCAGAATTTGACAGATGGGCCCAGGTATGGGAAACCTCAATTCCGCCTCCAAGACATCGTCATAGAAAACGATCTCTCATGAAGAATTATTGCAAGCGGGCTCGTCCTCCTCTGCTTGGCGGCATAGAACAACAGAAGTAATATGGAAGGAGGACACCATCCTAACAATGTCATTGTCGTAATCTATCAAACTAAAAATAAAGAGTACCTTCGAGCGATCACTACCAGCGGCTCCCTTGCCCCGCTGAGAAGCCTGTCTCACCATGTCTTTGTTAAAAAGGGCACTTGTCAAAATTAGAGCCAGTGTCAAGGAAATCCCAATATTAGGTAAATGCTAGAGCTACAGAAACTTCAAAGGGCAAACAGAGTTGCCTCACCTTCACTAGATCTCGCACTGATGCCTGCATCCCCGGCGCCACCTAGCTTGTGCTCGTCGTCACCTAGCGCACCGCCACCTGAGTTGTGCCCTCCATCGCCCAATGCATCACTGCCGCCACCTAGCCTGCGCTCACTGTCGCTAGCTTGTTGACGCCGACTAGCCTACTCCCGCCGTCACCCAGCGCCTCGCTGGCATCGCCTCCTTCCGCACTGGCACTGCCTCCTGCTCCCTCAGCGCCATTACCTCCTACCTTGCTATCTTCGTCGCCCGCTGCACCGCCTTGGAACTTGCCTCTCTTCTCCCTCGTTGTGGTTTCCCCCAAAATATCGTCCATAGAGCTCCGACCTCTTCCAACCTTTGATGGAAACTCCTAACTTTCAAGAGAAGGGCTTTTGAGTGAAAAAGGGGATGAAGTGGCTCAAGATATAAATATTGACCTCTAAAGCCCTAGCAGTTATTCCGTAAAGGGGAAAAAAGGGTTTTTATTGCCAAGGGATGGGGTTTCCTCGAGCCTAGTAGGAAACTCAGCAAATGGGAAGGTCGTCTACCAATGGTGAGTAAGGAAGTAAGCTCTGGGAAATGTGAAGAATGTCGTGTGAAGCAAGGTACCTGGTCCACCTCAACAAGGAATACACTCATGCCCTCAATCTCTTGTCACCACAAGGGATTGGGGCATGAGGAGCAAATGATGAGCTCAAATCTAGTTGGGTCTAGACTTGATTCGGGGGGTTAAGCCCAAATAGTTAAAATGACAGGTCTAACTGAACTCATAACCTCAGTGCAGTCCAAGATTCAAGAGGCCCATAAAGATCAACGCACGTGGGGAGTAATCATCGGAATAGTCATTGCTCGAAGATCATTCCAATCCTCAATTGTACCTATCCTTAATTGTAGCTATCCTCCCCAAAAGACCAGTAGCCTGACTTTCACGTCACCGCCTCAACTAGGGCTCAGTGCTTATAAATTGTAAGCATTTTACACACGAGAGACACATAGTTGTGTCTCACACACACCAGACCTTGAACTTACTCTGTCTTTCTCTCTCACCTACTTCTTTATTCTCCTATTAATAAAGTTCTCCGATC